AGGAAGACATGCAATAGAAGATGAATATCAAGAGTTGTAGCAACTTGAAGAAATTAAATTTATAACTTAGTTTCTCAAAGATTTCTTTGAAGTTCTTGAAGGAGGAAAAGACAATGTGGGAGAGTTATGTGCTCTATTTTTTGAACTTTCTTTAACCTTAATTTTTGAGTGGAAGCCCTATTTTCATGATGAGCATAATGGCTTGAGCAGCCATCAAATAATTAGTTGAGTGGTCCTTGGTCGTGCATGTGCTTGATACTTTAAAATAAATAATTGTTAATTTTGTATAATATATAAAAAATCAAAATCATCAAATATTGATACATTCTTTGTTGAGTTGTATTACTTATTTGGTCAAATTTCCGTAGAGTGGTGGCATGCCATATTTGTGACATATTTTTGAAGCTAAAAAATATTCAAATCATATGAATAAATGGATCATTTTGACTTAGAAAAAAATAAAATTATTAAAAATTAAATTCTTTGAATTTTGATGCACTCATTTATTTAATTTAAATAAGTTTTACATTATATTTTTGATGAGTGCCAAGCATGTGTATGACACAATTTTATAATATTAACATTATTTTATTCAAGTATGATCATAAATGTTGATGATGGCTATATCCTTGAGTGCATTAGTATGGACCAAGGAAATTCCTACATTTAAGATCCTAAAATCAGCATTCATACATTTTGAGCATAACTTTTTTATCACTAAAAGTTTTTCAACATTTATGATATTAAAATGTTTAATTCAAAACTGATTGATTATTAGTTAAGTGGACATATTGTGGAAACTTTGATCATTCTTTTGAGATTTCTACCCCATTAAATTAAGTAAAGTCTTTACATTATACAGAGTAGTTTGATTTGATTATTTATGAACAATGTTGATAAGATCTGACTTAGAGATAAAGTAGTTCATATTTTGTAAATCATTTGTATATCAAGTTCTTCCATCACCTCTATATGTGAGACATCTAATATGGCTAAAATTGAATCTTATTTTATTTCTTTATTCAATAGCCACTTTCTTATTATATATGGCTTGAGAGTATGATTATAGAATTTTTATATCTCAAAATTTATAAGAAATCTAACATCTTTTATTAGAATTATTTTTCATAATATGGATCTTGATGAAGGACCATATATGTAGAATTAGTCTTCAAAGTTCTTGATAAGACCTTATTAATACTTCCTAAGTTGTGTTAGGTCCCATATGGGCCTAGCATATGTGAGATGTAGAAAGAGGCTCAAAAAGTCCAAAGTCTTTAAGAGACAAATGGACCCCTTGAAGCATAGCTCTCAATCTGGCCCATAAGGGGTAATTTAGTGTTTCTCTTGTGCACACGAGACTCATTTAAATGAAGTAGGGGAGAGAGAGAGAGAGGGGGGAGCTTTATTGACTAAAAATTAGGGTGGTGTTAGGGAGCATTGAGGGTCCTCTCAAAGGACTTCCCTTGTTCTAAGGTTTACTTGTTCATTGTTGTCTATGTTCAAACCTATGTTCTAAATCTTTTACTTGTAATTCTATTTCAATAGAGGGTTATTATTAGGTTTTCAATCAATAATCCTAATATTTGATATTAAAGTATAAATCAAATGGGTGATATGACATCAAAAGTTATTGATGAGAAGTTCAAAAAAATAGAAGAGTTAGAAGAGATACCTTAAGCAAACCAAAGAAAGAGAAATAACTTTTCAAAAATTCATAATAATCAAGGTTAATATTGAGAGAACATAATGATATGGTATATTAGAATGGTGTAGTCAATGAGGTACTACAATACTCATTAAATTGTGCTTGCCAATAATCTTTATAATAAATTATAGAGTCATCATAAACACATGTGTTTCTAAAAGATAAGACATCTACAATATTAATAGAACTACTAAGTTAATAGTAAAAGTATATTCTCTTCTATTAAATCGAATATTGAATTGATTAAGAATGAAGCGTTTTAAATTACTTAGGTGTACGAAAGTTAATTAGAGTAAATACATCATGAGTTTTCATAAAGTTGGACCTAAGTTTGTGCTAGTCAACTATAACCTTGAAATCCTTAACAAGGGAGTTGTAGCATATGAACAACTTTTTATTAGAGCTATATCAAATTACTTCGAATGATATAGTAGTCTCAAAAAAAATGATATTCAAATTAACTCAATATTCTATTGATCTGATACATCACCATTATACAAAGCTTCTAAGGGTATTTCTTGTCAGCACAAGTCTACCACTAGCTAGGGACATTGACCACACCATTACATTACTAGTGAATATTGCTTCAATCAATGTTAGACTCTATGTATCCTCATCGTTAAAAATGCAAAATTGAGAAATTTATCAGGAAGTTGTATGCATTAAGGATTGCCCAGCTCTCTAACATGCTCTTTTTCAATCCAATTCTATTAGTAAAAAAAAGGATGAGAGTTAGTGATTCTACACAAACTATTGGTCATTCAACACATCATATTCCATAATAGGTTCTTAATCCTAGTTGTTGATTAACTATTAGATGAGCTACATGGGTTAGTAATCTTCTCTAAATTCATTCTAAAATTTAGTTATTACTAAATTAAGATGAAAGAGTTTGATATTATCAAAAAAACTTTCAAGACACATGAGGGACACAATTAGTTCTAAGTTACATCTTCTATCTAATACACTAAATACATTCAAGTAACTAATGAACTTTATTTTTTAATATTTCTTTATAATTTTTTGTTAATTTTCTTTGATAATATTTTAATTTATAATAAAGACATCTTAACACAAGGAGACATATTTGAGACAAGTTCTCACAACATTAAAGCATCAACTACTATTCAATACCAAAGAATATACATTTAGACAATGACATATGAAATACATAGATCACTAAATGTTAGTAGAAGGGATGGTAGTTGACCAAGACCAAACTGTGGAGTTATCAAGTGGCTAACACCCTCAACACTTAAGGAGTCACAAAGTTTTTGGGGATCACTAGGTATTATTGAAGATTTGTTGTTGATTATGAGGTGCGAACTTGACTCATAAGACAACAACTAGAAAATAACTCATTGCAATGGGGAAAGGCATCAAATAAGGCATTTGAGAAACTTAAGGTAGTTTTAATTTGTCTTTATTGTAACTTCACCTAATTTTTTGCAGGCTGTTTAAGTCAAAGCTAATGAGTTAGGGTAAGGGATTTGTGTAGCGTAAATGTAGTAGTGAAAACTTATTAACTATTCAAAAAAAAATTATTTCATTGAAGAATATAATGAAGCATGTTTACAAGTGTGAAGTGATGGTGATAGAGCTGGTAATACAGAAATTCTGACATTATCTTCTTGGGTACCATCCACATTGATCATCAGAGTTTGAAATTCTTTTAGTAATGACAAATTTTCTTATGTTTAAAAGGAGGTCATGAATTATTGTTTGGAAACATATCTTCATTATTTCTTAAGTGATCGATCATGATAGTAGAGTATGGTTTTAATAATCAGAATAGTTAGAATACATCTTATCATTCTTCAACTTGCTTTACCCCTTTCAAAAATCTCTATGATGGGGACCCTCTTTTGTTGATTAAGCTAAACACACAAGAATAGGTAGTCACATACATTATTCATCAACTAAGGGATCATGGTGTGATACTCATACAACTATTTATAGCATTTGCTATCTAAATAAAAATGTAAGTTGTTGGCAAGTGTCTAGAGGTGTAGCATGTAGTGGGTTAGTGGGTTTAATCTTAAGCTTCATGATTTTTCAGATCATAATAGATTGTGGACTGATAGCCTACCATTGGTAACTTTCACCAACTTACTTTCATGTATTACAAATCAAAAATATAATTAGAGCAACAAATCACAACATATCAAGCCACATATGAACGTTGACCTAATTTGAAATATTGACCCTCAACATGTTCTAAGCATGCGCTCAACTACAGAAGTGACCAAAGCCTTGGTCAAATAAGACCACCTTCCCAAAGAAGACTTCATGTGGGAGTCAAATTAGAACCTTATATAGTAACAATTCCCAACATTTCACCTTGTTCCCAAGTTGACTTTGGCAGCATAAGGTAATGTTAGGTCTCAATTGGTCACAATAAGAGATGATGCAATCTCTCTTTTGCATATAAGAGTCAATAAGAGAAGAAAGTTTTATCGACTGAAAATTAGGGATGTGGCTAGGGAGAGTTGGAGGTTCTCTTGGAAGACCTCCCTTGTTCTAAGGTTCTCTACTTGTTCATTGTCATCTTAGTATACTAACCTTATGTTCTGAATCTTTTACATGTTTACCTAACTTTGGTGAGGGTTATTGCTAACTCTCTCGTAAGGGATCCTAATAGGCTGCCATGTCATCTCCTAGTGAAAATAGAATTCAAGAAGATGAGCTGAACTGAATTGCCCATATCCATTTATTCTTTTCTGAAAACATATCTTGCTACATTTATATTATTTACTATATTTGTGGTGATCCTTTATTTATTTATTTATTTTAAAAATATCATATTTAGCATCTTGATCTCATTATTTAATTACACTTATCATTAACCATCACTCTCATTTCAGTGAGAGCCGATTTTTTGGACTTTTCATTGTAACCCAATCTTGGTCTGGGCTAGGATCAGCTCTGACCAACCCGGACTTACCGGTCAACCAGGCTCGAAAAAGAAAGTCTACTTATAGGGTTATAATGAGATCATACAAGTGTTTGACCGAAGACCTGCGAGCTTCGGATGTTACTTTATTTAGGAACACCGGGGGGAGGGGCATCCGAAAGACGTGATTACCGAGTCAATGATCAGTTACGTCCTCCACGTGGAATTGGCGCTCAACGGTGGCCCCGGAGATTTGCCTCCGAAGGGGGCGGAGGTCGTCTCCTTGGTCAACATTCAATACGAAGGAGGAACACAGGGGCTCCACCGCTCACCCTCTCTCCTTCTCCCTCCCTCTGCCCACCCCCACGCTGCTGACCGGCAATCTCCGCTGTCGCCGCAATGGACACCCAGCTGCCTTCCAGCGTCGTGAAGAACATCACGCAGAACCTCCGTCCGGTGGTCTGCTACCAGAAGTCCCTCGTCGCCTCCGCCGGCGTGTGGCTTGGCGACAAGCCCCTCTCCTTCTCCATGCCTCTGCTCATGGCTCAGCTCTCCCTGATCGTCGTCGTCACCAACATCTCTCACTTCTTCCTCCGCCATCTCGGCCAGCCCAAGGCCGTCTCCCAGATAGTGGTAAGTTAAGAACCCAGATGACTTCCTCCTCCTCCGGACACCATTTTTAACTCCTCTGGTTCCTCTGCAGGGCGGCGCGATTCTGGGCTCGTCGGTGGCGGGGAGGAGTAGCTCCTTCGTGGACACCATGTTTCCCCCGAAGAGCAGGATACCGCTGAACATCGTGGCGGAGATCGGGCTAATGGTGTTTCTGTTCATGATCGGCGTGAAGACGGACTTGAGCATGATAAAGAAGTCGGGGAAGAAGGCGGTGGCGATCGGGCTCCTGTGCACCCTCCTGCCTTTCGGTCTCATGTCCGTCGTCGGCTACCTCCTCCGCCACTCCATGCCGGATGTCCTCACGACGAAGGATTTCGTCTACCAGTTGGCGGCCACCTGGGCCAGGACCTCCTTCACGGTACTCTCCTGCCTGCTTGATGAGCTCAACCTGCTCAACTCCAAGATCGGGCGGCTAGCCATGTCGGCGACGCTGCTCGCCGAGTTCACCAGCACCGTCCTTACCGCCGTCAACACCTCCGTCGAGCTGGTCCTGCACGCCTCCAACCGGTTGATGGGGATCGGCTCCTTCCTGTCCTTCCTCTGCCTTTTGGTCTTCATCATCTACGTCGCTCGCCCGCTGACGCTGTGGCTGATAAGGAGGACACCGGAGGGGGAGCAGATGGACGATGGACACTTCCTCGTGGTGCTCGCCATCAACCTCGCCTGCGGGCTGGTCAGCGAGTTCATCGGCCACCACGCCTCCATTGGCTGCTTCCTCCTCGGCCTGGCCCTTCCCGGCGGCGCCCCGCTGGGGAGCACTTTGCAGAGCCGGTTCGACGCCCTGGTGACGGGCATCTTCGTGCCGCTGTTCCTGGCCAGCGCCGGCTTCCGGTCCAACTTCTTCGCCATCTCCGGTGCCAGCGAGTGCGGCTACGTCCTCCTGCTCATCTTCCTCGGCGCCGCCGCCAAGGTCGTCGGAGTTCTCCTCCCGTGCTTCTACTGCAAGGTTCCCCCCCGCGACACCGTGACACTGGTGCTGATGATGGTCACCAAGGGCATCTTCGAGGTCTACGTCCTCAACAATTGGGTCGACGCAGGGGTAAAATAAAAAACGATCGGTCACTGGTCTCTCCTCCTTCCGTTCGGGAAGCCCTAATCCGCATGGTTTGATGCTCGAATGCAGATGATCGACGACCAAGTCTACGCCGTCATCGTTCTCTGCGTGGTGGGCTTCGCCGCTGTCACCACGCCCATCTTGAAGATGGTGTACAAGCCGTCGATGAGGTACATCGCCTATAAGCGGCGGACGGTGGAGCACGCGCGGCGGGACGGCGAGCTCCGGGTCCTGATCTGCGTCCACAACCAGGAGAACGTCGCCCCCATCGTCGACCTCCTCAACGCCTTCCATGCCACCAAGCAGTCCCCCATCTGCGTCTATGCCCTCCACATGACGCAGCTCGCCGGCCACGCCGCCGCCACGCTTGCCCCCTACGAGATGACCAGCGGGTCCGCCATGTCGGAGACGGATCACATCGTCAAGGCCCTCCGGTTCTTCGAGCAGGAGAACCGGGGTACCCTCCTGCTGCAGCCCTTCGTCGCCATCTCCCCCCACAACACCATGCACGACGACGTCTGCACCGTGGCACTGGACAAGAAGGTCGCCCTGGTCGTCCTCCCCTTCCACAAGCACATGGCCGTGGACGGGACAATGGAGGCCGTGAGCGCGCTCAAGATGATGAATCTCAACGTGCTCAGCTACGCCCCCTGCTCCGTCGGCATCCTTGTCGACCACGGCGCCGCCACCGGCACCCACTTCGTGCCCACGAAGCACCTCCTCCACCGCATTGTCCTCTACTTCATTGGCGGCACTGACGACCGCGAGGCGCTTGCCTGTGCCATGCGCATGGCCGAGAACCCCGCAATCGGCGTCACCGTCGTCCGCTTCCGCGCGCCGCCGATGGACCGCCGAGCCGCCGGCCCGGAGGAGGCCATGGACGACGAGATGGTCGGCCGGTTCCGCCTGAGAACGGTGGAGGCTTCAACCCGGCTCGCCTACAAAGAGGAGATCGTCAAGGACGGAGAGGACACCATCGGAATCATCCGCTCCATGAGCGACGGCTTCAGCCTTCTCGTCGTCGGCCGGCGGCACGGCATAGACTCACCGTTGACTGAGGGCCTGTCCATGTGGAGCGAGTACCCTGAGTTGGGTGTCCTCGGGGACCTTCTCGCCTCCACCGACTTCGGTGCTAATGTCTCCACCCTCGTTGTCCAGCAGCAGACCAGAGTCGGCGCCGACAGCCACGCCGCCGTCAACTGCAACCGGGGAGGAGGTCTCTGGAACAGGTTTAGCCGAGGCCGACGCGTGGCCCCTCACGACGCAGTTTAATCCCTTTCTTCTTCTTCTTCCTCCCGGCTGTAGTTGTTTGTGAGCAGGCTGGGTACGCGTGCGGGAACCTAATATGATTGGTGGGCGGTTGACTGTGACAGGGGTGGCGGGGCCCATGTTTGGCGTAGTTTAATCCTCCTCCTTCTTCGTCCTCGCCGAGTCAACTCTAACTCTGCTCGACGGATGGCTTCCTCCTCCGTGGTAGTAGTTTATACTTTCGAAGGCTGGGTGCGCGTGTAGATCACACGTGCGGGAACGTTATATGACTGGTGGGGCGGGGGGGGGCCCACGTATGGGGTGTGACCCACCAACTACCACCCTCTCTCGGCCTACTTTTAATGGAGCGTTTGAAACGGGAGGTTTTGACTGCAAAATGGTTTGGTAACGTTGACGTGGGAAGGAGACAGACCCCCCGCAGTCCGCACTGGGATCTATACAGATTGTGAAATAAATATTTTCTGAGGTATTTTTGTCATTATTTGAATAAAATGGGGATTATATAAAACCGAGCACTGAAAAAAGACGCACGACGAAGCCAACCGTGGTCGTATTTGCTTCTCTCTCTCTCTCTCTCTCTCCCTCTCTCTCTGAGCAAGTGGATCGGCTTTGCTTACCTGGTCTTCTTCTTCTTCCTCTCTCTCCCTCTCTCTCGCTCGCCGGCCGCTTCTCCGGTCGTCGGTCGGAGTCGGAGGCGGTAAGGATGCTGACCAGCATTGAACGGTAAGGACCACCACTATGTCGCCTCTGGTTGTCTCGTCCAGGGGGGTTGGGGGCGGGGGGGGTGGGTTTGGGGGGTGCGGCGAGGAAATTCGCTTCACCCTCGTCTTGTTCCTTCCACTTTCTCCCCCGGCAACGTTTAATCCAATGTTAATATGCGATATCCCTGTAGCATCCGACGTTGGAGGGTGAAGCAGACCAAGTCGCATGACTTGGATCTTTAATCTTGTCTTTTGCGTTATGCTGCCTTTTTCCTCAATTTTTTTCGCTGTTAAATTTGATTCTTCTAGGGTGTAAATGGGTGGAGATCCATCCGGTGATGAATTGGAGCAGTATAGTAGCGGCTTTTTCTGCTGCGAGGTGCCAGATCATGTTGCCACATTCGGCGGTGAGACTATCAGATTTGCTGTCATCAGGCGGCCAGAGACATGGCAGACCGGGGCAGAAAGGTAGCATGCGCCTGTCGTCGTCTCTGCAAGATTTGTCGAGCTTCTCCAGGCTAGATCCGGAGAGAGGTCGTGTCGAGTTTGAGATCGAGGGGAGCTACGCCCGTCCGCAGGCCTCCCGAGTTTTGATTAAGGAGAGTGGCGGATCTAGCTTCTCGAAGGAGAAGCCCTTGCCCGAGACCCCGTTCTGGCGGAGGAGATGGATACGAATACCTTTATTTGCTCTCGGCCTCCTCTTGTTGTTCTCTTTTTTGTATGCATGTTCTCTGAGTTTTAGCAGATATTGGTCTCAGAATTCATCAAAATATTATGTGGTGCTCGACTGCGGGAGTACAGGCACTCGGGCCTACGTTTACGAGTGCTCTATTGATCACAAGAAGGGTCGGTATCTGCCCATACACTTGAAGTCGCTGCCGGAAAGTATTGGGCAGATTTCGAGTTCACAGAGTGGCCGAGCTTACCAGCGCATGGAGACTGAGCCTGGTTTTGATAAGCTCGTGCGGAACGAGTCTGGTTTGAGGAATGCGATACATCCTCTTCTTCGTTGGGCCGAGAAGCAAATACCAAAACATGCTCATAAGAGCACTTCTCTCTTCGTCTATGCTACTGCTGGAGTCCGCCGACTACCCAGTTCTGACTCAAAGTTGCTTCTGGATACGGTGTGGTCAATTCTGAAGAGTTACTCATTCTTATGTCAGAGGGGGTGGATTAAGACTATAAGTGGTATGGACGAAGCTTTTTACGGATGGATAGCTCTTAACTATCAAATGGGCACCATAGCCTCTGTACCGCCAAAAGATACGTTTGGTTCACTTGATCTGGGCGGTTCATCACTGCAGGTCACTTTTGAGACTAGTGGCGTGATACCTGGGGAGACTGGCTTAAATCTAAGCATTGGAGACATTAGGCATCATCTAAGTGCCTATTCTCTCTCTGGATATGGGCTGAATGATGCTTTTGACAAATCTGTGGTTCATCTTCTTAGAAAGCAATCGGCTGCCAGCTTGAAGGATGGGAAGGTGGCGCTTAAGCACCCTTGCTTGCATGATGGTTATAGAGAACAATATATATGTAGACAGTGTGCTCCAGCAGGCAAAGGAAGAGGCCCTCTTGTTGGTGTGAGAACTTCAGACAAAGGTCAGATTGGAATACCAGTTACATTAGTTGGTGAACCTGTGTGGGAAGATTGTGGTGCACTTGCCAAGACAACAGTGAATTTGTCTGTGTGGTCCAATTTAACTCCTGTAATTGATTGTGAAGTCCAACCGTGTGCTCTTGCTGATAGTTTACCTCGGCCACATGGACAATTTTATGCAATGTCTGGATTCTTTGTGGTTTATAAATTTTTTAACTTGACCTCTGACGCTACATTGGATAAGTTATTAATGAAGGGTCGAAAATTTTGTGAAACGAGGTGGGACGTTGCAAAGAACAGCGTTGCTCCTCAACCATTTATTGATCAGTACTGCTTTAGGGCACCGTATGTGGCCTCTCTGCTGCGAGATGGGTTGCATATTGATGACAATAAAGTGTCGATTGGGTCTGGAAGTACTACATGGACTCTGGGAGTTGCATTGTTGGGGGCTAGCCAAGCATTGTCCAGCAAGATCCATCTCTATGGTTATGGAATACCTTATCCAGAGATAAGCCGACCTGTCCTTCTTCTTATCCTTTTTCTGACACTAATACTGTTATTCGTTGCTCTCTCATATGTTGGAAAGTGGATACCAAGGTTCTTCCAAAGATCATATTTTCCAGTGTTTAGGCATGGTAATGGAACCTCCAGTTCCATTCGTAGCCTTCCATATCCTTTCGCCTTCCAGCGGTGGAATCCTATCAATTCCGGTAATTTTTTCTTTAATGTCTCCCTTTTCTTGGGGTCAACTTTTAATATGGGAAGATACTCGATATTTTTGCCGGAGCCTGTTTGCATATCTTTCATAGACTTAATAGGCAATCACACTGTTAGAATCTTTTAAATGTATTCGATCTAGTTATTCACCCTCTTCCCTAGAAAGCCACCACCACAAGTTTCGATGGGTTCGCGAAAGTTCACTCTACATTGTCACCAGTTCCGAGATAAGACAATGTGATGACCAAGTATGAAGAAAATTATAATTCTATATAAACAATTCACGGTGGCTCATTCTTCATCTGACTTATTCTGTTAATTTTAAAAGCAGGACCAATTGTATAGTTATATATTTGAATTTCTTGATTGAAAGGATTTTTCTTTTTTTGCAAATTAATGGACAATATTGTTTCTACTACTTTGAGAGCCCTGATATTATTTAAAGTCTACATGAGTTGGATATGTACTATTTGTTTATATGGAGTGTTTTTGAGAACTGTTATGCGCACTCTTTTGCATCCCAAACTCTATCTTTTTACTTTACGAATTTGTGGTACCATCCACTTTTTTAGAAAAAACTACTACTTAGCTAATTGAATTTATACCTAGAGATTTCTTGTTAGCGCTAATAACCCATGCCCTTCTTTTTCCCCTCACAAAAAATGGAAAAACAGCTTCGCAATTGCATCATATGGATCTGTTGCACCCATTTTCTCTCTAGTCATTTGTTGTGAAAGATAATTTCTGCAAACGTTAGCGTAGAGGCCATTTTCACAACCACCCTTGTCTGCAATAAATTCTTTTCTTTCCCCTTTTCCTTTGACGAATATAAATCCACAGAAAACTGTAAGATAATTGCTCATGACACTGTTCCATATCCTTGCATCTCAAATTACTCTCAGCCATTATAATATTCACTCATTATCTCGAACCTAATATGGTCAGAACCTCTGCTACGATATCTATATCGTTCTGCAAGTGACTAATATAACAATTCTGATCGAATTCCGATGCCTTGGCTAGCAGTAATATCTTAATTTTCAAGTCCATTGTCCTGCCTTTCCATTATTTACCTTAGTTTATTTCCCTGAACATTCGGAATTACACTTTTTCATCTAATCAGTTTACTTCCCCGAAAGCTCGGAATTACACATTTTCATCTAATCTTTGGCTGGTGGTGATCTTTGCAAAATTAACTTCTATTTCTTTACGAATACTTTCTTTTAAAGTCTTCCCCAAATCCTTGAGACTTGACATCAGTTCATATATTATCTTAGATCCAACCAAGAAGATCGTTGTCTAGTTGGTCATCAGTTTCGTAAGACTTTGAACTGTCAGGCCACCTTTTTTTTAAGAAAATGACGCTGTGTTCTTATTTCACCTCCGTGTAGATATTGTACTTGTTCATCAAATATTTGGGTTGTCTTGACTCGGATTCACCTGATGTTCATCCAGTCTGTGAGTCGTTATGAATTCTATTCACCAGAGTTCATCAAGTTTTCCCGTTGTTATAAATTTGATCCCGCTCAGTTTCTAAGGACCTTGCATCATCGAATCTCTTGAAGGATATTTTCATCGTTTGTGCAGGTGACACGAGGGTGAAGATGCCACTGAGCCCCACAACCTCTGCCACCGAGCAGCGCCCCTTCGGCGTGGGACATGGGCTGGGTGGCAGCTGCAGCCAGCTCTCCGAGTCTTCCTTGCACCCATCAGGCGGCGTCTCACACAGCTACTCATCCGGCAGCCTGGGCCAGATGCCGCAGGACAGCGTTGTGGCCCCATTTTGGACTTCTCACAGGAGTCAGATGCAGTTGCAGAGCCGCAGGTCGCAGTCCAGGGAGGATCTCTCCTCTTCCTTGGCGGAGATCCACATGAAGGGCTGAACCCACCCTCATCTATACCACCCCTTAATACTACCCTGGTATGAACACTATTTCTGCCGATTTTGGAAATGATTGATTGCTATAAGTTTCTAGATTTGGGTTTCCATGCATATCTCCTGTTGACTTTTTATCGCGCCTCATGTATGTTACCTGTCCGACATTCCATAGTCAAATCGTTTTCTGTAATTGGGCACCCCGTGCCATGCACATTTACAGTCTACTATGCCCATCGGTGATCTTTGATTACGGCTCATGCATGCCCGACTCTTCGATTTTGCCAACTTTTGAAATGATCGATTGCTATAATTTCCTATAATCCGTTGACCTTTTCTCATGCATATTTGCGGCTGACTTACCAATCCGTTGACCTTATCCAATTTTGGAAATAATCGAGTACCGTAAATTTCTGTGTTTCCTTTTTCATGCATATTTTGTATAGTTGACTATTCCGAACAGTTGACCTTTGATCGCGGGGTCTTGCATGCTACTTGCATCGGGAGTTGAGTCATCAACTCTAGCTCTCTTATACTTGTCGAACTACCAATTTGCACTCGGCATGTCTATTTTAAGTGGCTTCCTTGAAGCAGGTGAAGCCATCAGAAAATGGACGAGGAGCTCAACGGACGAGCTCTCCATCAGAAATATACTCTGCTCCTGTTCGCTGCTGCCTCCACCTCCGCTGTCCCAGTTTTGATCGGATGTGATGAGGCTACAACGAAATGCAACCCCCCCCTCCTCTCTCTCTCTCTCTCTCTCTCTCCCGATATCATCACCTGTTATTTCTAGCGGTAATTATCATATAATGGCATTCATTTATATAGGAATTTTTTGGGCTGCATTTGGCCCTGCTGACAGAGCCTGGCCCATGAACAGGGGAGGTCTTCAAGGGGTGGGTGTACATGTGGGTTATGATCATCTGATGTATCATGCTCGACATTGATATTCGCAGCCCCCTTCATTGTCCCCCCCCCCCCCCCCCATTGTCTGCATCACATTTTTTTTCATAAACTTTGCAAGCCCAGAAGAGAGAGAGAGAGAGAGAGAGAGAGAGAGAGAGAGAGAGAGAGAGAGAGAGAGAGAGAGAGGGCTATCCGGTATTTCCATTATTTTCCTGAAAAAGAAAAACCAAGATCTCATTCTGGAGCAGTAGATTGTGCCAGCAGAATGGAAACAAAATTTGTAAATCAGCACTTGGAAACGCACTGAAGATGACTCTCCGTGAAAAACAGTTCCTTCTGATAATCTCATCGTCACAATGCCAAGAGAAAAATCTCCCCTAACCTCCGAAGAATGCCTTCTGTGTACCCCCAAACCATTAAGCATATTCTCTCTCTCTCTCTCTCTCAATTTTGCCGGTCCAAGAACTTCTCAATCAAGACAGAGAATGCGGCAAACCCAGCGCAACCGGCGCAGGCCGCCTTTGGACCACCTGACCACAGACATCAGAGACGTCAGAATGGAGCATTCCCAATATGGAAAACAAAAAGAGATAACCAAAAAATGGAAACCTACATTGCTAGGAATAATCCACTACTAGCTGTCATAAAAATAAGCCTCTGATTATAAAGATCCCAAGTAGTCTTAAGCTTGTCGATTAAGAGCCCAAGCCAATCTAGCATTTGTCAGGTGGGGGAGGAACTCATGTTATCCATGGCATTAAAATCATGGTCATTTACTATAAATTAAGAAGCTATCAACATATTTGTCCTATTAGATCTTTTTTTTTGTCCTAACTGACAGCATTTTTACACTCCGCTGGGTTTTTAGTATAAAAAAAAGGGGGGTTGAAGAGGTGAATAAGGCAGGATATCTTGATCATGATTGGATGATAATGTAATTGAACTAAGATCATTCACTTGCCAGCGTCACTATGAGATAATTGGTGTCTGGGCGAAGATTTTCAGGGCAAGCTGATCATCAATATGTTCAAGGATGAACGAAATGTTCAAATTATGATCCGAGAAAAAGGGAGCTATGAATAAACCTGCTCACTAGGTTTGATTAGGCCACAATTTTCCAGAAGAATTTTAAGTCAAGTAGATACTTCATAGAAATTAGGATGGTGTGCCTGACATTGATTTATTTTTAGAAAGATCGGTCTGCATTCTCTTGAAGATTCCACGCGGATTTTTTTTTTTAAGTGGCAGCACGTTAAGGACCACATAATAGCAGGCTTCTGAATCAACGGAAGTCAACTAAAAAGGATTCACCAATAGAACAAGAAAAAAGGACTGCTTTCTTATGGGGGATTACAAGCTTAGTATATACTTAATGGGCAAGAGATACCCAGATAATCTGGGAAAATGTGATGGAAGAAATCTGGAGGATGAAGGACTAAATCTCAAATGTATGGTACCACCAGAACATAGGAGATAAATTGAGTACCAAACATAGGAGATATGGCGAGACACCATATATTTTCAGGTGATTATATTCCCTGTGCTCTGAACTGGCATCATGCTCTTTCTTTTTTATAAAGAAAAAAATTGAACGTTGATTCCTAAAAAAATTAGGAGAAAAGAAGGGTGGGTCACCTTTTGCTGAGATGGCTCCTCCAGTAAAACAACCAGCAGCGACTGTATTGGTCATATCATGCTTTGCTCTTGCCTGGAGAGTTTAAACAGGAATAAGAGACAGAGAAGATCTAGCTAGAGCAAGAACGGCTATGTGGTCTCCATCTTTCTTCACCTTCTCCACAACACATTCGGCAGCCGAGAAAAGAAGACCCATAACAGCAAAGGTCTTCGCAGAGCTCCAGCTTCTTCTTCCCATCTGCTTTGCAGTGTGTATGAACTGCTGCTTTGCGCTCATTTCCTCTTGCATGAGAGGATTATCCAAAGCACCAAGAAGCATGCCCATGAAAAGACCAAATCCGCCCCCTGTCCAAGCCCCAACGGCAGCCATTGATGTCATAAATTAACTATTAAACATACTTCTATAAAATGGATAACCAACATTAATCTATAATCAAAATTGTGGGAAGAAAAAAAGGGCCAGTGACAAGAAAATATCTAGAATCACATGTTTGGGACTCCAAAGATGCATGAAAATGGGTCCATGTCTCCTGGTTCTGCCTGGAGTCATCGATATAATGGACGAATTAGGCATCAAATAGACTTTAATAAAATGAATATTTGATATGAAACACGAAGTAAACTTTTCTGGAAAAAGAAAAAAGTGCCTGTGACGAAGAACTCAGACTTCATACTTAGGACTCCAAGAATATGCAAAACAGGGTTTATGCCTGCTGTAATGATCTGACACCAATACTATTTCCTTTTCCCATACTTCAACCAAAATGTCAGGCTTCGACACTCTCTCTCACACACAAACAAGATAAAATGGAGATTTATTCTTTTTCCCATAAACCCTAGTAATCCTGCGACTTATGCATGTTCTCAGGTTCTCTTTTGCTGACGTTATAATGCAACTGAGAAACTAAATTACATATCCAATGTGTCATGCTTCACCTTGATCCATATTATATTTGTCCAATTGGCCTAGATCCCAGGGCTCCTGGAATAACAGAATAGAAATGGGTCTGAAAAATAGAACACGGCCCATCTTTTGATAGAGTATGGTCCAAGATATTTGGAGAGAGTCATAGACATGACTGTTTTACTACTTTTACTAAAAATATCCAACTTCGATGTTTTCGTCAAAATAAACTCAAAATTTTAAATTATTTTAATTCTGAACCTGGCACCGATTGATGTTGACTTCCAGCTGAGTAATTCACACGGTGACCATGCTGCATTCCCAAAAAAAAATTGTGGCTTGGCATTGTTTTCTTAAAATCCTTCTCCTCATCAGCGAGCAGTGGCCTCTGTGGTTATTTTCAACTTACGGGTGACATTGTATTTTTCTAAAAAGATATTTTAAATTAATCTAGCATTCCAAACTTATGGGTAGGAGTGTGAATCAGGGCAGGGAGGGAGGTAGAAAATAAGGGAGACATTTGCGTTCTAATGAAGTGACGCAGGTGTCTGAAGGGATGGGGAAATGAGAATGCTTTGTGGTGTTGGAGAAAACAGGTGTTCGCTGCATCTCCATGCGTTGCTGACTTATAATCGCTTCATATAAACCAAGATCCTGCTTTTCGCTTATAACAACATGGAGACGTCATCTGACGGTCAAAGCAGATTATTACTATCTGGATTTCAGAGTATCAACCCTCAGCGCTGACTACTGAAACTGTTTCAACTTTCTATGCCCGTCTGTCATCGATCTGGAAGTACTCCTGATGCCCCGTGCAAAAACTTCGCAAGTGCTTTGACGATGGCACAGGAAAGTAGGAGCTATAAATGAACACTGCGTTATTCCCATAGCTACATGACGGAGATACTTTTGGCGCACCAGACGAGCACTTTCGCATTTTGGTTCGATGCAGGGCTGCATATGTAGTAGTTGCCAAGACCAGAAGTACCTATCTATGCGATGGAACATACACCAAAACCAGTCCTGCTTGTGCATTGCAGGTCGTTTCCTTGTTCAACAGGCACTTCCATCCACGACGTCCAACATTAATTCTCATAAAAGAAAAAAACTCCATTCACTGTCACATTACAAGCATTCAAATTTACATAGAAATAGCAAAATGAGACGAACGCATATGGGCAGCAAGCAAACGCCTGGAAGGCCTATTAAGCACTAAGACGCGGACCAAGCCACAGACCAAAATCTCAGTTATCTCGGTAACGAAACTCGGACACGAGGGGTATCAGTGGAAGGGGAAAGTACCCATGATCCCGCTGAAGGCGCTGCGGATGGCGCAATTGTTCCATATCTCCTGTCCCCGGATTTCCTCGACCGTTGGAAGCCTCAGCGGCTCTATCTTAGGTTTCTGTTCCTCCTTGGGCAATGCGACCGGCTCTGCTTCCGACGGCGCGGCCATGAGCAGGGATCGCGGGAGAGAGGAGAGACCCCCGTTGAAACGCAGAGAGAGATAGAGAGAGACAGAGACAGAGAGGGAGGGGTGACACGGACAGTTCAAGTCGCCCGCCGACGGCGGCGGGGTTGCGGCGGTGGACGGAAAAGCTGTTCCGCCGCCGGCTTGGGGGGAAGGGGGAGGGGGGAGGAGAGGGAGGAGAGAGGGCTCTAGGAGCAAGAAGGGTGGGAAAGAGGAATGGTTAAAATGACAATTTTAATCCTCTTCCATGCATATGTCGCCTGGACGCAACGGTCTTTTTGCCATGGCAGCTTAGTAGTTTCCCCTTGCAGCTTCTGTTTAATAAAAATAAAAATTATACTTTTATCGAAATATATGTAAATAAAATTATAATCACAAAATTGTAAAAAGTCCCCCACGAGCTCATATGCTTTACATGTGAAAAAAATATGGGAATATATGATTTAGATAATAACTTAGAAAGTCAAAAATACTTTTCTAACTCACATACTTTGCTCACATCCAAAGTCAACTTTATTATGTCATTGTGAATTGGTAGGTGCTGTTGAAGTATGATTTGCATAATGTTTGATGATGACAAATAAGTTTCAATTGATCAAATTATTCATAGTTCACAATGTTTATGTACAAGTGTTTAAACACAATAAAAAATGTTAATAATCATAGCTCATATGAAAAATCATTAAATATGCCTCTATTTAGTTTTATCAAACACATAAATAAGATAAATATCTGTACATGAAATCATTATATTACATATTGTTGTGAAAGATGCTTATATTTATATAATATACTACAATATGAAAGTAATGATGATAGGTACATCATAATGAATGAGATAGTAAGACATGAAATATGGGTATGAAAGCTTATTCAATCTAATGTGTTCTCATGATATCAGATCATTACTTTCTTATGTGTTTGTTATTATTTTAATAGATTGAATGTAAATTATTTACTTAGATAAATATGATTTTCTATATATTTAATAATATATTTTACATATTCTAAATCACCAAACTCATGATTATTACTTAATATTTCAACATAGTGATCATATTTTATTTGAGGTGATTTGAACATATTTGCGTGTCAAATCATCTAATGTGGATATGTATCACAAGTCATTTGTTAATAATATCATGATTACTACTAGTTCTACACTCAAGAAACAAGATCCAAAATAGATCAATATGATGGAATGTGAATTGAATACGAACTCTAGGTAATAACAAATTGACATCTGAATTTCTTTTGAGGATATTCTAATCATACTAAGGATATGTTATAGTAGTTTCTCAATAGTTTGAATTTATCTTCTTCTAAGAGAAATTAGTCATTGAAAATTTGTGGAGATTCGAAAAGATTTTTTGTACAAGATTTATCTATAAATTCTACTATCTTCCAATGAAAAAACAAGATACAACAATTACCCTTCTCATCTCGTTGACATCCAACTTGCCATCAAACTTCTTTGTGTGTATTCTACGCAAGACACATTGATGTTCATCCTAGTAACTCAAATGACGCCAATACATTAAATATGAGGACTATGACAACATTGAGTGATCCTTCTTGATTCGCCTGAAACTTAAAGAGCTTTCAATACATGACCAATACTCTCTTAAAAAGAGAAATATCTCTATATTTATTATACAACATATTCTTTATTAGAGATATTAAAATAAATAAGTTTACATTGTATTTGTAAGACTACCCAGATTAACTATCTCTATATTTATTATGGGAAATAAACTTGTGATATTATCACTCAAAGTAGTTGTCTTGTTAGACAACTATGAACCACTTAGAGCAGTGGATCTAGAAGAGAATTCATGGGTGAAATTTTGCGAGGGTTAAACCGGTTAATTAATAGTGTGTGATTAAACAATCAATTCTAGTGGAACCCAAGAACATAATTATTCTCAGAGAGTGGATGTAGGCAATGTGCTAAACCACTGTAAAATTAGTGAATTTTAAAATAATTCAACTATAAAAATAATATGGAGGATGAAGGGAAGAATAACTTACACACATACGAGGTGAACCTATTAGAAAGAAAGTCTAGGGACAGATCTATTCAACCCGCCCGCTTCCCTTCTTGATCTCAATGTAGGCCAAAACTCAACAGGTGTCACACTTCTGAAGCTTAGAATTTGGCAGTAAAAAAGCCTAACTGTTACTCTTAACCCTGGGCTTAATTGAAGACCCAAACAAGCATCACGTTGGCCCAATTAGATTTAGTGGGAGGGGCGATGCACGTATCTCTCTCTCTCTCCCTCTCTCTCTCTCTCTCTCTCTCTCTCTCTCTCTCTCTCTCTCTCTCTCTC